AATCTTAGAATAAGAGGTACCGTGCGGCGTTTAGAATAAGTTAAGCGTATGTGTGTGGGGCCCCATGCAATTAGTATTAAGTTAATGTTTGCGTGTGCGTGTGGTACAAGTTCTTTGCAATTTTGTGGTAAAGAACTTGTATGTGCGAGCCTATGAGCTAAGTAGAGTCAGAACTCATTTATCCTTCTGATAAATGAGGTTGCATTTGGAGGGTGGTTGGGACTTGGAGTTAGGGCGGGTCACTATCGTAGCAACCTCCACGTGGTGTGACCTGGTAATCGGTATCGTTTTCTAAACATTTTTATACAAATGAACTTTAGAAAACGATATCGAGCTAATAGCTACGAATTAAATTATAATTTCATTTGTTCTCTATTTTCTTTTACAAAAACGTTTAAATCAAGTAAGCATACTATATTACAAGTTTTGTCACTTATCCAAATCTTCTAATGAAATGCAAAACTTTGCAGAAATAGATGACAGCAGATAAGACGGAAACCACAGAGTAAACCAGAGGCGACACACTCGGCATCTTTGATCTCTCATTGTTTACCGACGTACACAAATTTGTACTACAATTGCAACCATTGATAGGGAAATTCCAGAACTACCATATCGATTGAACTGGGTTTACACCGCAGCGCCCTTCGTGGTAGAAATTGGAAACGAATGTACTCGTAGCAGTGATTACATTGTCAATGTTGTAACTATAGCCGTTGTTTATGTGTTATATATTTAAATCTTTCCAGAAAATGATGTTAAATTATTCATTTTTCACTTAAAATAAATATAGAAAAATTTAATTGTTTCAACTTATAATTATGTATATTCATTGAAAATATAAATATAATATATTTGAATATAAATATATTTTTACCATCAAGGCATAAAATAATGTTATAATTTTTTTCATGCAAAGTAAGATTTATAGTTCATAAAATAAAATGAATATAAATGTATTTTATACCTGTAGTATATTTATTCATATATTAGTACAAATATTTAGAAATTTATTAAAAATCTGTACAAAAAGTTTTATGTATACTAAATTTAAGAACAATATAGATATACTGTATCACAGTGAAAATTTTATAGTAGTTTCCAAACCCTATGATATGTGCATTAATAGCAATAATCCTGAGAAAAAGGTATGAACATAATTTATAGTAAAGTTCATAGATATGAAAATAATTGTTACCTTGATAGACATTTAAATTTTTAGGATACGCTTCAATTTGAATTAAAAAGAGTTTTACCAAACTTAGCCAATCCAAATTTATTTCATGAATTTCATTTTGTGCATAGATTAGATTATGCAACCAGTGGAGTAATATGTATTGCACTAAATAAAAAAGCAGCACGAGCTGCTTCAAATGCTTTTGAAACAAGAACTGCTAAAAAATTTTATTTGGCATTACTTCATGGTCACATTAATGAATCTTATATTATTATAGATAAAGCAATTGGTTTGTAATTATATTAGAATGTTTAATTAAAATTTATTTAAATGGTAGCAAAAGTAATATAATACCTATTGGCAATAACATTGCTCCAGCAGGAATAGATATAAGAGAAAAGAAAGGAAATCATAAAATGTGTGTTAGTGGAAATGCATTTTGTGAGAAACCACGAAAATCCTATACAGTTCTTGTAGTATTAGAACGAGGTTTTAGGAATGGGAAGCCAGCTACTAAAGTTCTATTATGTCCTGCAACTGGCAGAAGACATCAATTAAGGGTACACTGTTCTCATATTGGTCATACTGTGATAGGAGATTATACGTACAGTGAAAGAAAAGATATAGAACCATATAGAACATTTTTACATTCCTTCAGGTATGTTTGTACATATAGACTATATATCAGATCTTATTATCAATTTATCTTTCTTTATCTTTCAAGGTTGATATTAAGCAATCAAATTGAAAATTTAGATGTAAAAAGTACAGACCCGTTTCAAGCTTCAGATCCAAGAAATCAATGGTTACCAACAAATATTGCACGTGTTTTAGATGAAAATATATTTTCTGATATTGATGATCTTATGCAATAAAATAGACATAGTAATCTTTTGCATTTTACTTTATTTAAGCTATTGCTGTAACTCCAGATCCTTCTATTTTAAATGGAATAATTATCTGTGGTAATTGTGATGATAATTTAATGCAAGCATATCTAAGAGAATTTATTCTATAAAAATATATGGAATTAGTTATCATGCTTGACCAAGTTGTTCCCAAAGCTGGTCGCTCGCTAACATTATCATCAAGCAGGTTATTGTGAATAACTGCTGTTACCTACATATAAATTCATACATTATTTATCAAAACTAAATCATTCTGTATTGTTACTAGAAAGTTTATTCTTACCTGATTTATACAAATTATACAAATATTGTGTTTGCTTAATTCGTGTAATTGTTGTCCGATTGTCCTTAAACTCTTTGGTCTATTATTAAATTCACTGTTCCAATCTTCTACTCTATATGGTGCAGCAATTGAATCTATGATTATTAATCCTATCTTTTTGGCAGACATTAATATTGGAATTCTATGAAGTAAACATGTTTCTAATTCATCCTATAAAAATAAAATATTAAATGATGCAATGAATAATTATTAAATTATTTTAATCAGATTATAATTACAGTAGTTGAAACATGTTCCACAAATACTAAATCACCGTTTATTCCATATTTTTTAGTAGCATCTAGCTTTTGTATCAATTCCTGTAATCTTCTTGATGGAAAGATAGATTCAGTACATATATATACAGCACCTATTAAGTATTAGATATACTTTGTAATAAATGTTTTATACAAGTCAATTCAAAAGATCAAATATTCATCTTTTATTTGTATTTTAACATTAATTTTTTGTCATACCAGCAGCAAAACCGCCTTTTACTTCAGGAAGCTGTACAGTTAAACATAATTGTAGAGCCAACTGAGTTTTTCCTGTACTGGCAGCTCCATAAATTTGTGTAATTCCACGTGTAGTAATACCACCTTCAAGTAATGCATCAAGTTTTGAACAGCCAGTTGTCAGAAATTTGTCCCGCTCCTTCACTGTTTTTGCAGTTTCTAGTTTTCATAAATTTAAATCATTAAAAAGAACATATAGTTTAAACACATATAATCTGAATATTAAGCAGACAGAAATTTTAATTTATCAGAAAAAATATTTATAATTTATTTATAATACCAAAGTAATCTTCCATTAAGTTTCTTTTCCGAAAATACTAATGTATCTGAAATTTTTATTCTTTAAGTACAAAAGTTCAACCATAACAGATATCTGATTTATAAATTACATGTTTATTTACATCGGTACATATTTGACGCATTTGAGAGATGGTAAAAAGAATTAATGCTGTGATTTTATCATCTGTTTAAAAAAAAATAATGGCAATTTATCGTTATTAGTTTCTTAATTTAATAAAAGATGGCAATACGTGTAAATTTGCAGCGCGGTCTTTAATTTAATGTTTACAAGAATGCAGTAAGTTTTATATAATTTAAATCATTTTAAATGAAAGGAAATAGGAAATAGGTAGCACATTTTTCATAAATATGAAATGTGAATTGTAACACTTATTTCAAAATCGTATTCTAAAAATTATTTTCTGAAAGATCTTTGGGGAACGATATCGATTACCGGCTCACACCACGTGGAATTGGTAACGACTGTAATCTACCCGAAGTACTAAATCTCAACCATATTTCACTACAATTATCATTTTTATTATATTACTATTAATTAGATAACTTGCTAATTATGTGAATACCTAACAATAATTAAATTAAGTTTACTATCTACATTATATTTGTATTATTCATCTTACTTCACATTGATTGCATTAATGATGTAATATTGATTTTTAGCGGGTAACGATATTGATAAAATGTATTTCATATAGGCTAGCAATTTTTATTTAAAAAATGAAATTTAATCATATTTTGTTCGTTTAGCGGGAAATTATACTTCAAAACATCAATTCTCGCTTATTTTATGCATATTGACTCTGATCAGTCGGTAATCCTGAATAATACGCATGTCATATACATAACAAGTACGAAGAAATGTACTGAAGTCAGTCGAGTCATACGAATGAAGTATGGTCTTCCGTTAGACGAATAATACGTTTTTAGGGAAGTAGAGCAGTATGGAAGTTGGTATACCTGATTTCGATAAATCCGTTTGAAAGCGAATTGTGGTGCGGGGGAAGTCTTATCACAGAATTCATACCATATAACGGTGTTTCTAATTTCATTTTAATCGAGTATTATTCTTTAATTTTTTTGCGATCATTGACGAAGCTTCGTAGTATCCTCCAAAAATGTTTCGATCGAAGAAAGAGGTCGACCGACACGTGAAAGACATTTTTACCAAACTTAAAAGTTCCGATGAGGTAAGGTTACTTTTCAAAAAATATATTGGCGAATCTTACAGAATGTTGCTGTTAATTTGTTATACTTAATTATTCATTGCTTTCTCTGTTGCAATTTAAATTATACTCTAAATGTTATGCACATGTTAATATATAATATATTTGTCTTAACGTAAGATGCGTTGTATAGAATCTAAGGCCTTGACTTGATTCTGAAAGTGTATACATGGTCCATGTACTAACCTGTATACACGGGTTAATCGGCTTTTCATAAGTCATATGAAAAAATATAATTTTGAAGAAATATCCATGTTTTAATCACGTACATCATTAAAAATATAGTTTTTGCATTTTTGCTAATTGTTTTCAATGATATTTTAGTGATAACAAACAAATTTGTCAGAAGTAGTGTATTGTACCTTTCCTTCATGAATTTATGTACATATATTATTTCTATATTAATTACAGAAAAAACTTCGGTATTATAACATTGCAAAACTATATTATCAAGTTGGAGATTATGAAAGTGCAAAGAAATATGTTTCTACCTATTTGGAAACAAGAGATAAATCTGCGGGAGCTCATAAATTATTAGGTCAAACTCTTGAAGCTTTAGGACAAAAGGAAGCAGCATTTACACAATATAAAATATCTCTTGAATTAGAACCAAAGCAAGATGAACTTATTTTAAAAGGTATAATTTTGTACTTGTAGTTTCGTGTATCTCAAAAACATGCATTTATTTTATTTTTGTTACATTGATTAGTTTGTGAGCTGTTAGCTGAGGCAGCCATCAATGTAGATATTGATGTATATCAATACTGGGTAGATAGAGCTGATAGAAAGTTTCAACATCATCCAATAGTGTTTCAATTAAAGGAAAAAATGTTAACTGTAGCAAAACCAAACGGTAATGACGAAGACCTAGAAAAACTTATTACCTGTATGTATAAAATTTTTATTAATTATTAACTTTCAAATTGAATTGTCTTGAACAAATAATAAATTTTTAGCTGAATTATCAGTACGGCAAACAGATGTACATCTCCAAGTTAAATTATTGAAGCATTATGCAGAAAATAATAGACTTGAAGATGCATATAACCATGCCGTTGGGATTGAGGCAACGCACAGTCACAGAAATAGTATTATATGGTATCGATCTTTAAGCGAATTACTTGTAAAATGTGAAGATAGTAAGAGTTCGGATTGGACATTTTGGGTGTTCTACATTTCTGTGTTGGAGAGATACGCGGCGCTTTGTCTTAAAGAACAGGGTAATATTGTTAAGGAAAGCATATCGGATGCTACGCAAGCAGTATTTAAGTAAGTCAGTTTTCATTGAAAATAGTGTATAGTTAAAATATATAATGTACACACACATGTAAAATAGGTGTACATTTAACATTACCTGATTAAAATATTTATGTTGCAGTTTCGATCAAAGTTTAAGTAATTTTGAAGCAGAACATTTCCCTAATCATCCTGCTTTCACTGAACATATGATGTTGCACATGTGGGGTCAATTACATTTTCATTTGGCCTGTTTGGTGTTACGAAAAACTAAAGAAGAGAAAGACAGTTGGTCAGAAGCAGGAAGATTATGTGCACCTCTTTTATTAACCGCATTACACGTTACACCTATCGATCCTACTGTTGTGTGGACTATGCATTTGCTAGATCGTCTTAAAAATCAAGTACAAGTATGGTACAGAGAAGGATCATATAGATGTAGTCAAGCCGGTCATGTACTTCAAGATTATGCTCGAGATAATCCTAAAAAATTACTGGATAGAATCGATAGATATTGTACAAGTTCATGGCGCCAGCGAGTCTATCAAAGAATTTTTGTTGGCCGATTGTATCAAGATGGTAAAACAACGCATTCGTATTTTGCAAATTCTTCGATGTCAAATCCACCGTTACGTCTGTGTTCGTATAACGAACTAAAACGATTTGACGAAATTTCGGAAGATGTATGGCCAGATTCGTTGCATCATCAAATATGGCTTGGTTTAAAAACTAGACCTCATAATTCACAAAATAAAAATAACGGGCCTCATCCGAATCAAACATCGCGTGTATTTTGTGAATTACAGTTCTCTGTCTATAATTTATCTCAAGCTGCTCCAGATAGTTTGAGTCGTCTTGATGTTGATGCATTCTTAAACGCAGCAATTCTATGCGCTTCTACAGTGTCAAATCCTGAGGAATTCCCTACATTACCAGCTGACCTTACCGATACTCTTTGTACTTGCGCTCAAGAGAAATGGTGGTCTTATGCTTATAAAGTGTATACTATGGACAAGCAAACATCACTCGATGATGATCTTGGAGAAATAAGATTAGAATTACAACGAGGATTAGAAGTAATTCGTTGTCTTGGAAATCATGGATTACATCCTGTTATTTTAGTTCATTTAGCACGAATATTTCATTATAGAGCAGAAGCATTGAAAAAGGTAAATCCAGAACATAGTCACATACCAGATTTAGAAGCGCGATCTGAAATGTATTGGTCAACAGCTATTCCGCTTCTTGAAAGATTATTAAACAATCAAGTACTTCGTTTAACGAATTCAAAATACTTTAATTGCCAAGGAAAAGAGATGAATAATGCGGAAGTTATTAAAGCTTTGGAAGAAGGTAAACTGCTTCTAGCTCAACGTCTTGTGCGAGAAAAATTGTACGAGAAAGCTATTGAAGCCCTGCAAGCATTAAAATGCCCGGAGGCTTCGTTTTTACAAGGACAAATGTACGAGAAGCTCGCAGATGAAATTGTTAGTTCTATACCTAGAGAAAGTTTAACATCCGAAATGAGATCGCAACATATAATTATACTTTCGAAAGCTAGAGAATGTTTTTACCTGACATTAGACCGATTACGTAGTCCAGGAACAAATCCGAAACATCCCTTGAATTCAGAACTTTTTGCACACATCACTGAAATTGAAAACAAATTGAAACGAATTGACCCAGATTTATCACGGGGCGATTTAAGCAGAAACGAATGCGACGGAATGTCGGATGAAAGTTACTCCTCTGCTCACAGCATTGTAGATCAACAAGTGACAAACATAGCGTTACCAGGATTGAGCACATCGATTAATATTCTCAGTACCCCTCAGAAAAATGTCCATCGTGCACCAAAGCAGTCTAGTACTCCTTATAGACCACAGCATCAGGATATATTGGATTTATCACGAAATCGTAGCGAGGCACGTCCAAGTCCTGAACGCCTCGATGCTCAAATCCGTTCAATAAACCAAATGATTCAGTCGAAAGATAACATGATACAGTCGATAACGGAACAAAACAAGACTATATTGGAATTAAATAAAACAGTAGTGGACAAACTGGAAGAATTAACGAAAGAAGTGGCAGAACTGCGAAAAGAAATTCAGAAACAACGTATTCAACCAACCGATGTTAATCCTAATCTGGAAGAAGATTTGTGCGTCCTGAATGAAGATGATTATAATGATTTGAATTATAATGCAAATCAATCAGGTCCCACGTCTTCGATATCAGGAAACATATTCCCACCCTCACACAGACATCCATACTCTCAGTTAGTATATCCTTCCGCTACTGCGTTCCAAGGATATTATCCAACAGGAATGCCATTTAGTGATCCGAACACACAAGCCATTCCTCCTCTGTATCCACCAAGTGTTTACTCGATGCCGGTACTGTATCCAAGAACGAGATCAAAAATACCTGAAAACGTATTTCAACAGGGCATATTCACAGCAAGAGTACCGACACAAATATCAGATCTAATGCAACCAACAAATCAGCCATTGCAAATGCCACTTCCAAAAGTAGAAACAACAAAAACTGAGACAATTATAAAAGATGCACCTGTAAACAAAGTTCCACCAGTTAACGTTGTTATTACTACTTCTGATATTCTCCCTACTACTACGCAAGTTGTTCAACCAACTCTTAGCGTAACAATTCCTCCGCATTTTAGACAAGGAAATATTTCTGCACCAATTGTGACGGAACAGTCTGCACCTCATTGCTATCAAATTTCTATGCCCTCCCAAGCTACTATACCAACGACGGTGAATCTTCCACCTTTGTCAAATACGCTCACAACTACTCCAGCAAGTATTTCAGTTTCAGAACAGCCAAAACAAGATAATAGCACTATTTGTTCGACTGGATCTCCAAATAGTTCAGATCACGAACATGATCCAATACCTGATTTTGTTCCTGTTATACCATTACCGGCAGAAGTTAAGGTCACTACTGGAGAAGAAGATGAAGAGACTCTGTTTATTGCAAGAGCTAAACTTTATCGTTTCGTGGATAATGAGTGGAAAGAACGTGGCACAGGTAATGTTAAGCTGCTCAAAAACAAAGAAGGGAAAGTGCGTTTACTCATGCGAAGGGAGCAAGTATTAAAAGTTTGCGCGAATCATTTTCTTGCACCTAACATGGAGTTGACTACCAAGTCAAATAATGAAAAGACATGGTGTTGGGTTGCACATGATTTTGCCGACGGGGAATTGAAATTAGAGAAGTTTTGTATTAGGTTTAAAACGGTGGAAGAAGGCATTTCCTTTAAAGAACATTTTGATAAAGCTAAAGCCAGTCTCACTCAGTCTTCTAAGAAAGCAAATGAAATTACTGATAATGCATCAACTAAAGTTAATACTGTGTCAAATAACATTAAGAAGTCAGAAAAACCTAAAGTAGAAACAAAACCTTCAGAGCAAGTAGTGTTCACATCGGGACAAAGTATTCAGAAACAACCTGTTGAAGCAATTACAACTTCTAGGCCTTGTTTCTCCTTCGGGGATGTAAAAACCAGTAAAGATACAACAGTTGTTGGAGGTTTATCGTTTACATCAACTCCAATTATTCAAAAAGTAGCTACAACGGAACCTGCTAAGACAACCAGTGCATCAGATGTTAAACCATTCAGTAAATTTACATTTAACAAGACAGTGACAACTGCTTCGAGTTTTATGACTACAACACAGAAAAGTACAGTCGGTGAAGCTACTACTACGACTCAGTCATTTTCCTTTTGCTTTACAACTTCGCCAGCGGGAACTACAACAGTACCAACTAATGTTAACACTCACAGTACACCAATCTCATCATCGCAACCATTCGGTATTTCCATCTCTACTGAAAATCCTTCTTCGAATATGCCTCAATTTTCACTTAGAAGACCACACGCTCCTCCATCAAGTGCCATTACTTCAGCAACTTCTACTGTAGGTATTCAAGACGACGATGCTGCGCAAGGTGAACAGGACGTGCTGTTCAGTGAGAAGATTAGTCTTCGGTACTACCACAGTGATACTAAACAGTGGGAAGATAAAGGTACAGGACAATTAAGGATTTTATGGAGCCCAAAAACGAACAAAGTTCGTTTATCAGTGAAAGAAGAAACTAGTTCAAAAGTCCTCTACAATTATAATGTCCTGTCTAAAATGCCATTCACGTTTGAGGATGGTGGTAACACCGCCGTCATTTGGAACTTTTATTACGGACCAGACAATAAGACGGCGATGTTTATGGCAACCTTTAAAACAGCAGATCAGGCGTCTTCATTTTATCGCGCTATCACTAACTATCAGCAAAAAATGGTGAACGACTGTATTTCTGCCGAAAATGTAAAGAAACAGGAAACAACTAAGCAAGCGCAAGCAAGTAAAACTCAGCAACCATCTTTAAGTGAAATGTTCAAACCAGCAGCAGGTTCATGGGAATGCGAAGCTTGTTACACGAGAAATAGCGCAACGGACATGAAATGTTTAGCTTGCGAAGCGCCTCGCCCTTCTGCATCCGATAAAGCAGGTATTTCTACTACAAGTTCATTCCCTCAGGTATCTAAGCCAGTTGATTCTTCATGGAAATGTAAATGCTCCAACGTAAATGCAGCAGATAAAAATTATTGTGTTATTTGTGACGCGCCGAAAGATCCATCTCTTCCACCTAAACCGAAAACTGCAGGATTCATATTAAGTACTAATACTTCTGCACCTGTGACACCATTTACCTTCGGTATTCCACAGGATGCAAATAAGAAAACTACCGGCAAATTTTCATTTCAGTTATCTACACCCAATAACGTTTCTAAAGATTCTAAATCTACAGAAGCTGATGCACAGTCAGATATTTCTGGGTCGAGATTTATCTTTGGAATGCCACAAAAATCAAATACACAGTCGAACAAGAGTTCTACGTTTACATTTGGTTCACCAGGAAAGTCGTTCGAGTTCAACTTTGCGCCAAAATCCCCAACAAAATCAGCTGAAGGTGACGAAAACAGCGAGGAAGAGGTAGTGGAAAGTGACGACATTCATTTCACGCCGGTAATTCCGTTACCGGAAAAGATTGAAGTCAAAACAGGCGAAGAAAACGAAGAAGTTCTTTACAGTCACAGAGCAAAATTGTTCAGATACGATAAATCAGTTAACGAATGGAAAGAACGTGGTTTGGGAGATATAAAATTACTGCGACACAAAGAAACGGGTAAACTGAGACTAGTAATGAGACGCGAACAAATTTTGAAGCTTTGCTTGAACCATTTTGTACTGTCCGATTTGGAAATGAAACCGAAAGACGAAAAGACATGGATGTGGAATGCCGCTGATTACAGCGAAGGAGAAATCGAACACATGCTTTTCGCGTGTCGTTTTAAAACGCCTGACATCGCGAAGAATTTCAAGAACGTAGTCGATAATTCGAGAAAGGAGAACAAAGTTCCAACTACCAAAAAGGATACAGAAACCGAAGTAGGAACATCTGCCAAAGGTTCTCCGGTTCAAGAAATAGAAGTTCTTTACGAAGTAAAAGTGACGCCTGAAGAGAAAAAAGAAGCGTTGAGATTACAGCTGCCAGAAAACTTCTATGCATACAAACAGAAACCGGATTGCCCTGGATGTAGGGGCTGCGAAGAAGCTGCTGAAGAAACATCATTAGCACCAAAAGCGTCTATAGAAAATCAAAAGCCTCAAATATCTATGTCTGCCATACAGTTCCCTTCAAAACCTACTAGCACCATTAGCGAAGTCACAGCTGGAACGAATGTCTCTTCCGTTTTCAAGCCTGGAACCGGCTTTCGATTGTTCGGAACGGATTCTCTTCCTACTACATCTTCGTCGACTTTAACTTTTGGAAATACTGACTCTGGTGCATCGAGTGACAAGAATACTAACTTTTCAGTTGTAATGCCTCAACCGCAATTTAGTATACCCGACGTACAGAAATCTGTAACTGATATCCAAAGCATTTTATCTACTGACGACTTGAAGATATGTAGTCCTATGACTTCTCAAGCACAGACAACATCTGCGTCGTCTCTGTTCCAAACATCTGTAACACCAACACCTTTACCTTTCATATTTAATGCAAATTCAAATAAGGATAGTCCATTTAATTTGAATACAGGGAAAAATATGTTTGGGGGAACGTCAAAGAAAGATGCATCTGGACTACTTAAACCTAGTTCTCTCAATGTTAGCGTAACCACTTCTGAATCAGTATTTTCAAAGACCTTCAATTCTCAATCAAAAACAAGTACTACAACTGCATCTGTGTTTGGTGGTGCTGCTACTCCGACTTTTGGTTCATCTGCAGTGAAAATCAGTTCTGAAAGTACAGAACCTGTTTCATCTTCGTTTACATCACCTGTTGGAACAGCAAATACTACTGTCATGTCCATCAATCCTGCTAATCCTGTAGTCACTAACGCTGCTACGCCATTTTCATTTAATTTATTTTTCGGTGCACAAACAAGTGCATCATCTTTTACAACTTCAACTCCTACAACAACTAATGTTTTGGAAACAACATCCGCGAGTGAAACTCAAAAAGAGCTTGAGGTTGCTTTCTTCCCAACTTCAGGCGAATCATTTTCAACTTTAGCAGCCAAAAATCCTCAACCAGCATTCAAAAAAGGTAATTTATTTTTATCATAATTTACATGTATGCAAAGTTTGAAACATTTATCTGTATTATTTATTTTATAGAGACAAATTTTTCATTCGCTGGTGCTGGGACAGCAGTATTTGGTTCTAAGTCGAATCCTCCATCTGCTAATAAATCTATACAAAAGACAAAGGATCACACCACAGAAAAGAAAGATGAAAATGAAGAAGAAGAGTATGATCACAATGAAAATGATCAAGAACATGATCCACATTTTGAACCTATTGTACCATTACCTGACGTTGTTGAAGTTCGCACTGGTGAAGAAGAGGAAGAAAAAGGTAACAATTTAAAGTAATTCCAAGATTAATTAATGCAGTGTGAATACGAGTATCGCATTAATTACCATACTGAAGCCACTTATGACGAATGATATGGTACACAGTTTGATGGAAAAAATGATGTTATGTTTCAGTGTTTTGTGAACGAGCCAAACTCTATAGATACAATAATGCAACACGTGAATGGAAAGAAAGGGGTGTCGGAGAGATGAAAATCTTACATCATGCAACATATGGAACTTACAGATTGCTCTTGCGCAGAGAGCAAGTTTATAAAGTAGTATGCAATTTTTTGCTTACTCCGGACATCAGTTTTAATAAACTTTCGAGGTCGGATCGCGCATGGATGTGGGCAGGAATGAACCATGCCGAAGAACAACCATGCATAGAACAGTTGGCGGTTAAATTTAAAAATTCAGAACTGGCAACAAAGTTCAAGGATACGGTTGACAAAATTCAACAAACACTAACTGAAATCCGTAAGGACTAAGATGAAAACCTCTCGTTAATAACTGCTTTCCTTAATTAATTATTCTTGCTTCTGGTTGCATGATACATGTATATTCACCGTATATTACATTACATGCTATATAAAATATATTTTTTTATCATTACGCATATTAATTATGGTTTTTATTGGTATTTATAATATTGTTTAAGAACATTATAATTTGCGATCAAGTAGATTAGAAAAATTTATAATATTCGTCTTATGAAATATTTCATCATTTTTCAATAGCACTACGTTGTCCAAAAATATATTTTGGTTTAATAATTTTGATTTTAAGATGGATTGTGATATGTGGTCGTGATATTTCTTTACGATACAACGATGTATAAAATTATTTTACCAAATCTTGTTTTACTTTGCCTTAATTTTATATTTCTAATTAGAAGGAAACAATTATAAAAGACACGTACTAACTGTTTTATGTTTTATAATAAATACAATTTTATAATTAAGTTAGCGTATGATTATAGCACATTTCAAAGCGTGAATTCTTTTGTTAATAATTTATAAATAATTTTTGTTAAAGTTTAACTGAATTGTATAAAAAAAACTGTACAAATACACACTTTAATAACCAAACACTTCAATAAAATGATATGATATAAACGTAATCTAAATTTTTTTTTTACTAATCAATATACAAATTCATAAAGGTGCTGAATTCTTCTGTAAATGTTAAACTACTTATATGTATAATCATAAGGCTTCATAATATTAATAACAAGTAAGCCTGTACCTATTATTGCTTTCCTTTAGAATTTCTATCGTTATTTCGCACGTTATTCGTTGAAACAAGTTTTGTATAATATGTATATTTTTCCTGTGAATATAGGCGAAAAAAGTACAGAAGACAATCCAATAGTAGAAGAACCAGATGATGAGAATGAAGACGTTGATGAGGTAGAACATGAAGGTGAAGATGAAGACGAAGAAGATGATGAAGGTGAAGAAGAGGAGGAGGGTGAGGACGACGAAGAGGAAGAGGAGGAGGATGATGAGGATAGAGGGGACGAAGAGGACGAAGATGAAGAAGATGATCAATATTTTATAATTTTTAAAAAGAGAGCTACGTTATTAGCAAAAACAAGTAAAGCAAGCGAATGGAGTCCTGTAGCTTTAGGAACTTTAATTATTTATCACGATGCTTATATCTGTGGCGAAAAAATAACTTTGAAAGCGGATGAAACGGCTGAAATTGTAAGCAGCACGATCATAAGTATGAACACACAGATGCAGGTAAGAAATACATTGGATGCTTTTTTAAAAGTATATTCAAAAAATTATTCGTACTGAACATTTTGTTATTTATATCCAGGTTAGTGGAAAAGAATGTGTATGGACGGCTATCGATTATGCTTTGAATCCAGCAGAAAGGCGAACTTTGAAAGCACTTTTCTCGTCGACTCAAGCTGCACAGCAAATGCAGAAATGTTTTGAGAACGTGAGTAGAGTTTTATAGAAAATATGGGTGATTAATTGAAATTAATTATTATTATTTTAATAGGGAATCCAAGTTGCAAGGGAATCAAATATCACTGAAGAATACTACGATGAAGTATACTACGATGAAGAATAAAAGAAGGAAACGATTTTAGATGTTTCTTGTAATAAAGTATTTCTTCAGACTACAAAACATGTAAATTTAGTTCAATTCCAATTTATAGAAATTATATCCTGTTTTTATGGATGTAATTATGTAATCGTACAAATTATTTAAGGATTTATTAATTAAAAAAGGACAATTTTTTTATGAAATTTAATATGTTTTATGCAATAATATATTGATATATTTAACTGGTAAAATAAAATGTACCATTCAATGAATAGCTTATAGTTTGCTTGCAATTTGTCATAGTCATTAAATTATTTAATTTATATATATACTTTGTTTAAATTTTACATAATTTAAATAAATTTTACTATAATACCGAACGTTCGTTGAAGTTTTTTATAATTAAACAGAAAAAATTAATACCTAAGGAAGTTTCAGAATAAGGATTGGATACTCGATTAATTTATTGTTAATAATATTGACCAGTTTATCTGCGATATAAAATTTCAATGTTGTGTTTTAATTATGGCATGTGTGTATGTATAATATTACATATTGGTAGTTGAAGGTATTGCAGTTGCGACTACAGCGATCTCTAACGGGACTTGGGCGTTTGAGTAATCTTAAAAATATATATTAAAGGATTGATGTACATATTGGAACACACTTCGGTTTAAATTCTGAACATCGAAGTTACTATAAGTTGATGTGTTGTACATCACCCGAAATTTTTATGGTATTTTATCCGTCATAATAAATTTGAAAGATGTCTATTGTAACGAAAGGTACGTAAATTTATATATATTTATCATTTAAAAATAAAAATGACTTGCTTAATTTTTAATATTTTAGTTCAATATAAATTACTTTGTACCATAGCGAATAAATACAAGTCACTTGTCAATTTTTAAATTTCGAATTATATTTTGTTTTATAATGTAGAATATGTGAAATAGCATATGTAAAGACAAATGAAACGTTAATGACAGTGAAACGAAAGAATCTATATAAATACATAAACAGAAATTTTGTGCATATATGAACTTGCAAAAATATGCAAATTGCAGCTTTCTTGATAAAAATGTGGACATACATTATGAAAACTAGTAAAATATATTTTGCAAAAGAAATAAAGTTTCTGTAATCTTGATGGAATTTGTACAATAATGCTGTTGATAACAGTAATAAATAAATTCAATAGAATTGAAATAAAACAATAATAATAATGGTGCTAAGTAATTAAATGTAATTCAGAATGTTAAGTAATGCAGCAGTTTCAAGGTTCATGTTTCTTTTTAATTGATTATTTCATTTGTCATAATATATTATTCCATATTTGTTTTCTGACCTTTGGACCTACATTATTTCTGTCAGTGATACTAAAGTAATTTAAAATATCTAAGATTATAAATATTTGATTCATATTATCTTTCTATTTCTTGATAATTATGTTGTCTGGTTTTTATATATGTTTTTTAAATACCAAATTGCAAGCAATGTAAAACTGATTATGTAATACTTATTTTTTTACAGGTGTTTTTATTGTTGCTGCAAAACGTACTCCATTTGGTACAATGGGTGGAGTTTTTGCTAATAAAACTGCAACTGATTTATCAGCTGTTGCTGCAACTTCTGCTTTGCAATCTGCAGGATTAAAGCCTGAAAAAGTAGATAATGTTATTTTTGGTCATGTTTTAAGTGTATGTATTTTATTATTACTTATATTTTTAAATGCATTATTGAATAGCATAAAATCTTCTTTCTTTTCTAATATGTATAATTATAATTTTTAAGTTGTCATCATCTGATGGGGCCTTCTTGGCACGTCATGCTGCATTAAAGTCTGGGGTTCCTTTAGAAAAGCCAGCTTGTTCAATAAATAGATTATGTGGCTCAGGATTTCAGTCAATAGTTAGTGGTGCACAGGTAATAATATACTTTTGATAATTAAAGAATTATATTAAACTGTAAACAAGATAATTGGAATATTTGTCATTTTTAGAGTATTTTGACAGGAGAGGCTAAAATAGTTTTAACAGGAGGTGCAGAAAATATGAGTCAAGCTCCTTTTGTTGTAAGAAACGTTCGTTTTGGTACAGTATTAGGACAGAAGCATGAATTTGAGGATTCTTTATGGCTTGGATTATTGGACACTTATTGCAATATGCCCATGGGCATGACAGCAGAAAAGCTTGGAGCTCAATTTGGTATAAATAGGCAACAAGTAGATGAATTTGCTTTGAGGAGTCAACAACTATGGAAGGCTGGTATGTATGTCTTATTACACAGAACACTTTATATCTTGTACATTTTTTAATTAATACCAGTATTAAAAATGAATTGTATTTTTCTTAGCTAATGATGCCGGTCGTTTCAAGGAGGAGCTTGCACCTGTAACAGTGACCATTAAAAAGCAAGAGGTAGTTGTGAATGTGGATGAACATCCTCGACCTCAAACAACTCCTCAGAGTTTAGCTAAATTACCTCCTGTTTTTAAAAAAGATGGTCTGGTTACAGCAGGATCTGCATCTGTATGTCAAATTTATTTTTTTGTCTAATTAATTGTATTGGATTGAAGTTGATTTTATATTTATTAATATGATTCCACTTCATAGGGTGTTTGTGATGGTGCAGGAGCTGTTATTTTAGCTAGCGAAGAAGCCGTTAAAACGGAAGGTCTTAAGCCACTTGCACGTTTAGTTGGTTCATGTGTTGTGGGTGTAGATCCCAGTATTATGGGAATTGGTCCATCTCCAGCCATCAAGCAACTTCTAAAAATTACTAATAAAACAATGGACGATATCGAACTTGTCGAAGTAAATACCTACAAAAACAATTGAATTATTTGCTCCAGTGTGTAAATTAAACATTTAATTATATATATTTTTTTCGTATTCATAGATTAATGAAGCATTTGGAGCTCAAACCTTGGCGTGTGCCAAAGACTTAAATTTAGATATCAATCGCTTAAACGTAGATGGCGGAGCTATTGCTCTTGGACATCCATTAGCTGCATCTGGTAGTAGAATTACTGCACACTTAGTACATGAATTAAGGTATGTTATGAATTAAAAAAAAATTGATATTACCATACATGAATTATAATGGTTATCGAAATGAATTTTCTTTATTTTTGTAGAAGACGCAACAGCAAAAAGTTTGGAATTGGTTCAGCCTGCATCGGCGGAGGTCAAGGAATAGCTGTAATGGTGGAGGCTCTGTAATATGTGATATAATCGTATTTGTGTGATACGAGCAAAATGTGAATTATACAATCAATATCAATTGATATTGAATGTATAAATTACAAAATGTGTTCACATTTATATTTTTGATATTTTGCATACAACATGAAGAGAACATATTAAAGAATTATATATGTATACCTATATTTTTATGTTAATATAGACTTTTTATTACACTATATATAATATTCCGATGTTGATAAGAATATAGTACGTTTGTTAAAATGTATACAAATATATTTTTAATACTATTTTAAAATAAACCTTTTATAAATTAATATTCCTTCAACTATTTGCAGAACTTTGTAGAACAGTAAAAATGGAATATGACATACGCAAGATCTAGAAAATAGCGATGATAAGTTTTTAAACATGTTTTAAGCATTACAAACAGGTATACTTACTCGAACAAACGTTTGTAAAGATAATTGCATAACATTCCCAGCAGTCAGGATAAGAGGCTGTTGAACTCTTACCATTATAATGCATATGGCTTGTTTAAAATCCTTACTATTATACCACCAATTGTTCGCATAAGCAGAAAAAGTTACATTCATACTCTGTAAACGTGACCTTTGCACAAAATTTTGTGGTTTTCAGTTAATGCATTAATTCAGAACAGAATAATTACATACATGAAGGTAAAGTTCATTTCCATGCCAGCAGTAGATAAAAATTTGATATGTCATACAACACATGTACATTAACATACCACATAAAACGTATGGAATATAATCTTTCATCTGTAAATATAATAAATTTAAAACATAATTGCATTTGAGAAAGCGATAATTAATGTATTAAATATACCTGTGCTATATTGAATGCTATTAAACAGATAATAATACAATTGACTAAAAATTGAAGAAATATCACAGTGCCAAAAGTATCTTGAATCTGTTTCGAGAAACTAGACATATGTAAAAATTTAGTTACAAATTTAAACGATAAAAATGATAAAATACTTTAATTCGAAAACTTACTCAAATATCATGTTACTATGTTCGACGCAAGATTTCAAATCTTCGTATAATTTATTATAGTTTTTTGAGGTAGATATCTCAAGGTCGGTATTATTATTTATGCCAATTGGTTCCGTATTTTCTGCACAGTTCAACGACGCAATATTGGAACTCAAGATCGCTAATTGGCAGCAAGCAATCGTGATTAAACCAGTAATCAAAGTATCAATTGCTACGTTATTAATGCAGCAAAGAAAAATAGCTACAGCTTGATACGAAGAAGTAATTTCGAAGGCCGGTGTCGACGATGTATTATAAGGATACCATCCTTCCATTGACAATTCTTTGGATCTCTGAGTAAGTAGATTTAAAACCGGCGTAACACCCCAAGATATCACCGCCATTAAACCGAAGCTTTGATAAGCAATATGATGAAAAACTCCTTGCCAAGTGTAATGCCTTACAATTTTCTCGTATTTGCCATTATCTTGAATAAACGTTTCGCTTCTTGTTATATCTGTAAGATCTTTGATACGCTTATGATGGCAAATTATAAGTATCGCCTATACATAAATATAATAATTACTTAATAAATTAAAGTATGAATATCGAAAAGACGATTAAGCATTTATTGTAGAATCAATAAAATGATAGTTTATTGTAGAAAAATGAAAAAAATTAAGGATGTGCGATGGCCGGGAATCGAACCCGGATCAACTGCTTGGAAGGCAACTATGCTAACCATTACACCACCATCGCACGGTGACAGTAAATTTCTCTTATTAGTATATATAGCAATATAGTATAGTATCGAAGGACTTTTTAAAATATACATTGCAAAATTCTTATTGCATGCATTATATGCGTTAATGCTCTTCAGTTCTTCAATGAGCACATTTGCGCTACTGTTATATGCAATATAAGTAAAATATACCTTCATCTGTCACATCCTATTTAATACAAAAATAATTCTCATACAAACCTTGTAAGCATGAGTAGCATTTGTCATAAGTAAAGTAGCACCGGCTATTATTTTGTCCACACTTTTTCGATTCACGATAATATACGCGATTTGGCTAGCAAGAAAAATTCCCAATAAAAACATAAAACTAAATACCGTGTATAACATGTACAAACGTTTGTATTTCGACTCCGAGGGCCACATACCCATATAATAAATAATCGACAAGCTATTTTCTAAATGTTTATTAGGTTTAATTTTCTTTAACTTCGTTCGGTTTTCCATAAAATCCATTTCTGCCGCGTAAACCGCTATAGTACTTCGATTTCCAAAGTACACTAACAGAATAACAGGAGAGTATCGAGAAAGGCCTCTTATCTCAATTATGTTACAAATTGCAGAGTTCTAATTAAAAATCCTTACGATTATAGACCAATTTTACTGTGGTCTCTAATCATATTATTTATTATGTAGCAGTTACATTTGATTACATGTTGCGTGTAATGCAACAGCTTTGTCGCACCGTAATTATGCCAGATTACAGAGAGACACATCATCGTTTATGCTTAATAGCAGATCGAAATACGATTAGACATCTTTAAGCACATGTATCTTGTCCTGTCAAGAGTACAATGATTGTGGAGCACCATTTGAACGCGGTGAGATGGAGGGGAAGGTGCATGTATACATATGTGCATACAGCAGTATATGATAAAGTACAGAAGTGGTGATATAACGCAAGTCTGCCGTCACAATATGTATGTACATAAACATAAATCACATATCGTCAAGATTAGACGGTTTCGTGGTCACTGCAACGTGTATTATATCTTAAATTAAAACATAAATTACCATTATCGATAAATACAGAACACAGTTACAACGAAAAAGTGATTTATGTTACTCGTAATTTTACAGTTTAAATGTGCGCAATATCTTTGTCTAAAATTAGACAAGGATATTCACCAACTGTTTTTTGCGACACAAATATTTTTCTCATGGACAATGTAAATTTGTGGTGGACCTTTGTGGAAGTTATACGAGTTTCTTACGCGTTTCTGTGTTAGCGACTTTCTTTTTGACGTTCCACTTACAGCGTAGTATTTTGTGCATTAATGATCAAGTTAATTTAGTAAATAATAATAGTAATAGTACTGATACGCAGGATATTTTTATACGAATATACGTAGATATAGATATGATAAAAGAAAAAGCATGAATACGCGAACGAATTCGTTGGTGGGGATCAGCTGACTTATCAATCCCTCTCCTTTGATATTTTTCATGTCAGCTTAAATACATACATCGTTATATACAGCGTCCACTCGGTAACGCATTCGAAGTACATACGCATTGACAAATTTACTGCCGATAATAGGAAAGATTGAAAGTAGAGTTATAGACATCTGCAAACAGATAACGGACTACAGATATCTATAGTCGTTACTGCTCGGCGATTTCACTGTAAGTTGCTTCGGTGGTCAGCATCTTTTACGGTATTGACGATTCTGTGACTCGTTAATTGCAGTATCAATTAGAATTAGAGTAACGAAATGGCAACTACGATTCTGACTAAAGATGTGACCGATATCGAGGTAAGTATTGCAAATAATATCGATGTATGAGATTTATGGTACACTGATAACTGTACGCATTTCGTATTTTTAGAATCTGTTAAGTCTCAATCCAAAGATAAAGCCATTCGCGAATGTTGTTCCTTCGGTGCATACCAAAGAAAATAAGAAGAAATGGAAGCGAAACATCAACGAAAAATGCGGCGTAAGATATCTACTGACTTTATTTTGAATACGTCACGTGCGTAAAGCGACATAATTGTAAACCGTGTAAACTGCGAATATAAATGTTCAAATGTTATATTTTAGAAATGTCCGTCTTTAACGAAGAACTTCGACGATATTAAACACACAACGTTGAGCGAGCGCGGGGCGTTGAAAGAAGCGGCTCGTTGTCTAAAATGTACGGATGCTCCTTGTCAAAAATCGTGTCCAACTCAATTGGACATCAAGTCCTTCATTACTTCAATCTCGAACAAAAATTACTACGGAGCGGCGAAAGCAATTCTGTCGGATAATCCTCTTGGTTTGACTTGTGGCATGGTGTGTCCAACCAGCGATCTTTGCGTAGGTGGATGCAACTTGCACGCGTCCGAAGAAGGACCTATCAACATTGGAGGTCTTCAGCAGTTTGCCACCGATGTAAGATCTACATACGTCCTCAATTACCTACGAGAATGTAAAAGTTACTCTTCACTTTAGATTTTCAAGCAAATGAACATACCACAAACTAGGATTCCTGGACAAAGTGTTCCACATGCAGATACCAAGATTGCTTTGATCGGTTGTGGTCCAGCTTCTTTGTCTTGCGCAACGTTCCTCGCGCGTTTGGGTTACGATGATATCACGATTTTCGAGAAACAGAATCATATAGGTGGTTTGAGCTCGTCGGAAATTCCGCAGTACCGGCTACCGTACGATGTTGTAAATTTCGAGGTGGAACTTATGAAGGATTTGGGAGTGAAAATTGAAACCGGTCGAGCGTTATCCAAGAACGACTTGACGATACAGGTGTGTCATGAAAGTCGATTTACCAATATCTCTTCGTTTGAACAATATACAATTGTAATTCTGTACTTTCAGGGTCTACAAGAGTCCGGGTACAAAGCGATCTTTTTAGGGATTGGTCTTCCGGAAGCAAAAACTATTCCAATTTTCTCGGATCTCACCGAGGAAATGGGTTTCTTCACGTCGAAGAGTTTCCTACCGAAAGTAACCAAAGCTAGCAAGCCAGGAATGTGCGCTTGCAAAAGCAACGAGTTACCGTCTCTCGAAGGAAACGTCGTTGTTCTCGGTGCCGGAGACACAGCTTTCGACTGTGCTACTTCGGCTCTGAGATGCGGCGCGAAGAAAGTTTATATCGTTTTCAGGAAAGGATTCACTAACATTCGAGCAGTTCCCGAAGAAGTAATTTTCAGTGCTTCATATTTTCCTTTTTGTAAAACTTCGTGTATTAAAGTATTTTTTTTTATTTAGTTCGATTTAGCGAGAGAAGAGAAGTGCGAGTTCATCCCCTTTCAATCACCGAAACAAGTGATCACTCGAAATGGAAAAATAGTTGCGATCGAATTTTACCGGACAGAGAAAAACGAGAACGGTGACTGGATAGAGGATTCAGAACAAGTTTGCAAATTAAAAACTGACTTTGTTATATCTGCGTTTGGATCGGGACTGCAAGATCTTAGTGGTAAAGACTCTAATCACATTGAATTGGTATTGCACAGAAGAATTGAAATTAAAAGAAACTTTATCTTCAAGTGATGGAAGCTATGACTCCTGTAAAACTGAACAGATGGAATCTACCGGAAGTGGACTTCGAGACCTTGAGTACTACTGTGCCTGGGGTATTTTGCGGTGGAGACCTTGCGGGTGTTGCAAACACTACGGTTGAAGCTGTAAACGACGGAAAGACAGCAGCTTGGTATATTCACAAATTTATTCAGGTAGAATTTCAATGTTTAATTTATTAGTAAATTTTTACTTTGCCTACCACCTATAAATTTTATTCCACAGAATTCTTATAATTTACAAATGCCAGAAGTTCCTCAGTTGCCTAAATTTCACACTCCGATCGACGATGTTGATTTATCTGTGGAAGTTTGCAACCTAAAGTTTGAAAATCCTTTTGGTCTTGCCTCTGCACCACCGTGCACCACTAGCGCTATGATTAGAAGAGCTTTCGAAGCAGGCTGGGGCTTTGCAGTTACCAAAACATTTTCTCTAGACAAAGTACGTCGTGATTAAACAAATGTTAAGTAATAAAACATTCTATAGAAATAATATTTTAGGATCTTGTCACTAATGTATCTCCAAGAATCATTAAAGGCACGACCTCACGGCACCATTATGGTCCAGAACAAAGTAGTTTTTTGAATATAGAATTGATATCTGAAAAAACAGAAGCATATTGGTGTAATAGCGTTACAGAGTTGAAGAGAGACTTTCCGACAAAGGTTTGAAGACAATGTACGTTTAAAGCCATATGTGTTTATTGTAGCGTTATTATTGAAAGAAAAATTCCCTAATTGGTCGGCAGATTGTCATTGCCAGTATTATGTGCACGTACAATAAAGCAGACTGGACAGAACTTGCGCAAAAAGCGGAAGCTGCCGGTGCTGATGCCTTGGAATTGAATTTGTCTTGCCCTCATGGAATGGGAGAGTCTGGAATGGGGCTGGCTTGTGGACAAGTATATTTTTTATAATTCTTTACTATCTTATTAATCCGGAAGACACGTCACCTTTGATTTCATTATAGGACCCTGAAATAGTGAGGAATATTTCAAGATGGATCAGAGCAGCTGTAAAGATACCATTTTTTGTGAAATTAACACCTAATATTACCGACATAGTTTCGATAGCTAAGGCAGCTTATGAAGGTAACAATTTCATGTATTTTTGGACAAGAAAGCTATATAAATTTTGTGGCGAGTATTTCCACGAGTAACTGTTTAGGCCATGCTGATGGAGTATCTGCCATAAATACGGTGCAAGGATTAATGGGATTGCACGCTGATGCAACACCGTGGCCAGCTGTTGGTTTTAAGAAGGCTACAACTTATGGGGGTATGTCAGGAAATGCGACAAGACCACAGGCTCTGCGAGCAATTTCTTCCATTTCGAAGGCGCTCCCCGGTTTTCCGATACTTGGAATCGGTGGCGTTGATTCGGCGGACGTTGCTCTTCAATTTTTACACAGCGGTGCATCGGTGGTTCAGGTAATTTGATTAGCTATTGCATACAAATTTATATACTTTATATTACGAACAAATTATTCTTAAGTAACTTTCTGACAAGTTATCAAAATAGACCTTGTACATCGCTTGTTTTCATTGTATTCAATTATTACATCATTGTGAGTAGGTCTGCAGTGCAATACAAAATCAAGATTTTACTTTGATCGATGATTACGTAACTGGTTTAAAAACTCTACTATATCTGAAGAGTCTAAAACACCTTGAACATTGGGATGGACAAAGTCCACCAACGTTTAAGCACCAGAAAGGGAAGCCAGTTACTTTTCAACATGCACTTGGTAAAGTAAGTGAAGTAACCGAATTTTCTTTACAATTTATCAATCGAAGACAATGATAATATCATAATTTATACACAGAATATACCGTATTTTGGAGAATATCAAAAACTTCGAGAACAAAAGATAGCCGAGATTAAGGCGAAATCAAATCCCCTCGATAACGTTGTCCAGATAATAAGACCTGCTCCAAAACCGGATGCACCTATACCAACAATAAAAGACGTTATAGGCAAAGCTTTAACTTATATTGGAGCCTACAAAAATTTGAACAACAAGGAACAAGTTGTAGCTTTGATCGATGATGTATGTCTCAGATATCACTAAGTTACGTCATTATTTTATTTATTTTTATCATTTATGTTAATGTAAGTCATTTGTATATCTCTAGGACATGTGTATAAATTGTGGAAAATGTTATATGACTTGTGCTGACTCTGGTTATCAAGCGATTAAGTTTGATTCTGAAACCCACATTCCAACGGTAACCGACGATTGCACAGGTTGCACGCTTTGTCTTTCAGTGTGCCCTATCATAGATTGCATAACGTAAGTTTCTGTTTTTTAAGTTGTGGTGCTTTTTAAAATATTGTAAATAAGTGTACATTATTATTTCAGTATGGTACCTAAAACGATACCCCACGTTATTAAAAGAGGAATACCGCCAAAAGGAACATTTGAACTATCTGGATTATCAGAAGTATATTAAAACCGAAGTTAATAGATACTGTTCTTTATTCCACCTAGAGAGTTTACATATATTTTGTACTAAATAAAAATATTACTAAAACACGACACTTCTGTTATTTCAACTATTAAAAATTAATATTTTGGATTGTCCACCCATTCCAGTTTTTCGGGTACGGTGCGATTGTCATTATATTCGTTGCACTCATTGTATATAAAACTGAACCTGAAATAATACTTATTTGATAAAAGTTTTAAATAGTTATTATAGAGTATATTACCATGAGAATTCTCTACATTTGTCTTCATTTTCCTCGGTAGAATTTCGTTTAAAACATTGGGGTTTTAAAATATTAAAATACGTAGTTCCGATGTTAAATGCTATAACGTTATTAGCTTTCTTTAAACATTGGTAGAACGCATCGTCACAGTCGCAAGGTGATCTGTTAGTAATATCAAGAATCAGTGTATTGTTATAGATTTTAAAATATAATGAAATTGAAACTAGTTTTGAAATGTTGCAAAAAGTATTTATTTTATAATTACCTAGTGAATATGCCATTATTTAAAAGACCGCCTCGTGTTTCTTCTGCTGGAATACCATCCGGACAAGAATCATGAGCTCTGCAACAAGCGTCTGTTCTTTCGAAGACACCAAGATCCTCGTTATTTGGTGATATATCACCGTCACCGCACCAATATGTTCCTATAATTAATATTACCAATATAATGAGCAACCGTTTAGTGCGAGTAGTATAATACTGAATTAATAAAATCAAACACTAGTCGCTTAAATTATTTCCTCCCTCAGAATGTTAATTTATCACATACCTGGAAAAATTGCCTTAATTTTTGGTTTAAATTGATTTAAAATACTGCTAAGTGTTGTCCTATTCCTCGCTCCTGTTTTCTTTTTCAATATTGAGATCTTAGATACTGCTTCCTTAAAATCCTCTTTAATACTTTTAATTTTGTCTGTGAGCTTTCGTCCAGATTTCATAAATAAGCGAACTGATTTTTCGAGTGGACTAACATACGTTTCTTTTAGCGTATTATTATCATTATCATTATCCTGACTTTCTCCAAAACCGACAATTAGGAGAAACGTAATAAATAGAAGTATGCGCACCAAAGTCATTCTAACATTACTGTTCACGTAATAGAACTATTAGCAATAAAATGTTAGTGTTTATATAGTGTAATCTATTTGTAATTTTTCTTTTTTAAAGGCGAAGGTCTTGGACGATAATACACACGATCACAGGGAATACTTCCTTAATAGGAAAATATTTTAGTCTTGTAGTTTAAGTACTATATTTTAGTCTACTTTGCAAAATCTTTGTTCTATTTTATTTTACAAAACGTCTGCACGAAAGTAATATATACAGATCGAAGTTCATGACGAACTCGAAGAATAAGCATAAAAACGTTAGGTTTTCAAAGACTGATCAGGTGATCATAATACAAAATTATATAATGTTTACGTTGTATCGCTCAACGATTCACTCGTATTCAGTCCGTCCTCTGTAAGACTGTCGTCCGTGTCTAAAGTTTGTTGATGTTGTAATGCGCGTCGTTTTTGAAGTCTTGTACATCGCGGGCAGCAGTGATTTCGTTTCGACCAACAAGCCCGGTGATGAACAGCCGAACATTGATGGCAACTTATGGAACACGCGTCCCACGGATATATAATTTCGTCATTACCGCATAATTCGCATAAATGACCCCTGTCGATGCAATTGAAATTCAATGATCAAGCTAGACAATAATGTAGAATACTCTTATTCGCTAAAGTTTACCTCGCTTTGCACAATTGGCATTGCTCCGTGATGTGAGCATGCATAACATCGTATGCAGAACGAATTTCTTCCAGAAGCATTCCGTTGTTCAAATCGACGAGATCTTTAATAGAATAATTTCCCGAATTTTCTATCATGTGAGTACGTATTCCAACCTTCCATGGTAGTCCTTGGTTACTAGCTTCCGGGCATAGAACCAAATAGCGTTTCATCATTTGCATTTCTTCCCGCATTTTCTGTTCATTATTAATTCCGAGTTCCATTAATTTAATTCCATTCATTAAGTATAAATTACTACGTATATTTTACCTTCACTAAAGATAAATCTGGGACTAAGGTGAATAATTTGGGATTCAATTCTTCTAACACTAAAACAGAACGCTCTTCTAAAAGTGTTAGAAGCTGTGCAGCTGCTCGAGATACAAGTCGCGGTTCCATGTCCCAATTCCTAATTACTCTTGCAGGAATTACCATTGCAGTATTCCAATGGCACCTTTGGCAATAATACAATCCACTGTAGTCGCAAAGACGAGGTTCGACCCATACCGAGTCTATAATTACATACAAAGTATAAACAATAATTAAAGATATAATGTTGATCATCAATTTTTAAATTTCAATACATGTTTCATATATTTTATTTCTCCCTCATATGTTACCTGTATTCTTGAAAGGACTGCCAAAACAAGATAATGATAATCCTTTTGAGAAAGCTTGTAATACAAACACAAATCATCCATGGGATAATAATATGTATTATAAACTTAGAAAGTAGTATATTATTCATTGTCAAACAATAGAGCTTATTTTAGTGTAACATTTTATTAATGATTATACTTACTAAATGTTATTCGAACTTTGCACTCTGCACACCGATATCCTTGACCAGATAAGCCTTGCTCTGGACAAATGTCTTTTGTATAAGTATAACCACCTGCTTCGCTGGCAACCACATGAACGCATACTCTGCATATGTTGTTTAAACATTTCCAATGGCAACAGAATTTACAATCTAAAAAAAGAAGCATTTAAAAATTGTGAAAACTAATATGAAATTATAAATGTAGTAACATAAAAGCCTTACCACTACACATATACCATGACTGAAGCATAGTCCAAATAGCTCCACTACAATGATCACAATATACAGGACCAGAAGTTGTAATATAATATTTTTGTGGCACCAAGTGATGTCCAAGAATTACTTGTGTTTCAAGTAAATTTTCTTCCGAAGTTTCTCGTAATTCTTGCACTCTTAAACGTAATTCAATTAAACGCCTAACTAGCCATTTTCGTTCATCAGAGCATTCTGCACTTTCCAATACCATTTGTTTACATTTTTGTACCATCTCCTTAAGATCCTCCTCGCATGTACTCTAGAATATAAAATATAATAAGATAGATAATATATGAATGCTACTGCAAGAAAGAAAACTGATCTTGTACCTTAGACAATGAAAGCACTGTTTCCACTGACTTTAAACTAAATGGTATGGCAGCTTTACTATCTGAGCTGTCATCTGCTTCTCCTGTCATATAATCAGACGATGAAGAAGGTGTCGATGGCATAGTTCCAAAACTATCAGTTCTCATCCTTGATTCATGATTAGAATCATGTGTTTCGTTTACATTGTTTTTTAAGTCCACCATTTTTCATAAACACTATAGTATAATGAACAGAAAATACATATTTTTTGTTAATAATCTTTATTCGTTACTGTAAATTATACTTTCAATGAATACCTTGAGGTCTAAATTATATTTGGTTATATACAAGCAACAATTTTCATTAACTTATTTAAGACTTTAGTTCGATTTAAGTTAAGAAATGACAACTTTATATACTTCTTACACTATGTATACGTAAATGTACTTACATATATAACAACATAAACTTGTTACATTTAAAACGACAAAATGTCAGATAAAAACACACATTCAACAGACACTTGAGTCTAATCCTTGAATAACATATCGCTGTATGTGAATTAATGTTTAAACAGGTAATTATATTTTTTAATGTGCTGACACAGCATTATTTCGTTTCCACGTATATATCTTTATATTCCTTTGAAGACAAAACATACCCAAATGCATACATAAAGTTTACGAGATAAATTTGAGATTCAGTGACATCTGTCAAAGTAAATCTCAAGAGCATATAGTCGATTCGATGAAAGAATTTAAATGGAGAATTTTCGTTCATTTTGCGCATGCTAGTTTTGATTAGTTTTAATGTACATGCGCGTACGTACTTGGTGGGCTTTTATTTTATACTAGGTTTGTTTGATTGAGGCGCTCCGCGCCTAAACTAACAATGTTGAGCGAGCGAGTAAATTTCACGCTAAAGCAAAAATAGTCAACCGTGTCATCCGGTTGAATTGGTTGAGTGGTGCAAGAGAAAAACGTGGACAAAAAAGTTGAAAAGTCAAGTACATAAGCGCGAGCAAATTCAATTTTGCATTAAAGTCTACGGGGATATGGTTTTTCGGTAATTATTCCTCAGTGGCATGCGCGGATGGCGCGCAGGAGGAATATATACGATAATGAGTATGCAAAATCGTTAATTACTCACTTTCTGAGCACAGTCTATGAACTTTTATGATTAAAGAGTGGTCAGCAATGCATTATTTACATGGTTCGATCATAAAAGTTCATAAATAATGTTCGGATAATGAGTAATTAATTATTTTGTGTCAGCATTGCGATACGTACATGAGCCGCATATGTCAATTCTACTGCGTATGCAAAGTGCAATATTTCGGCACTTTGACGACGTAGTATGGTTCC